GTGTTTCCATAATGAGCAAAAATTGTAAACAACCCAGATATTCAATGAGTGAATGGTTAAACGGATGATTCAATGGTTTGATTCAGTGGTTAAACAAATTGTGGTATATTGATATCATAGAATATTACTCAGTAATAGGAAGGAATGAACAACTTGGATGAATCTCCAGAGAATTAATGCTGAGTTTAGAAAGCCAATCCCAAAGGTCACATTACTGTATACATCCATTTATATAACATGCTTAAAATGACAAAATTATAGAAATGGAGAACAAATTGGTAGTTGCCATGGATTTGGGAACAGGTGAGGTGGGAGGAAGGTGGATGTGGCTATGAAAGGGCAAATGAGAAATCTTCATGGTAATAGAGAAATATTCTATATCTTGACTCTTTTAATGTCAATAAGCTGGATATCCATTCTTCATGACTTATTACTGATATGCCACTTATATTTCCATATAACTTCAAAAAAGCACCCAGTAAGTAGGAAAAGATTAGCTTAGAGAACTGAGATTTGATTTTTCTACTCAAAAGAGCCTGAAAAATAGGATCATTGAATCTCAGGCCTGAAATGAACCTTAAAAGTATGAGGCAATCTTACATGTTCCCACTAACTCTCCTAAACCCAGGATGTCTCTCTTACTGGTTTAACAGTTTTGGGTTTTGTTCAATTTTTAAAAGGAGGCATTTCCTTCTAAAATGTGCATTCTGAACAGGAGCAATATTACCTTCAAGGGGACAAAAGTTGGTTCTTAGGGATTGAAAAAAATCTTAGCTAATGATTTTTAGCCCTCCAGAGCTCAACCCTACCTGATAAATATTATTCTTTGGTATTTATCTTGTTAGAAAGAAATTTAAGTATATTTTTTCTCTTTGGAGTTGCAATAATGCAAAATAGGTTGAGAAATACTGTTCTAAAGGATCATTTAGTCTACCTTCACACCCAAATGCATAAATCTCTACAGTACCATAATCAATAATAGTTAGTAGTCACGTGCCCTCACTATGTGCCAACACTGTACCTCAAGCTCTTGTTACATGGATTATTATATTAATCCTCACAACATCCCAAGGTAACAACCATGATTATCCTTATTTACAAATCAAGAAACTGAAGCTAAGGAATATTAAGAATGTGCCCATATTCCAACTTTCTCTCTGTTATCCTCTATACTATACTATCCCTACACAGCAGTATCTACTTTTTTATCCAATACCTCTAGAAAAGAACTCCCTGTCTCCTGAAGTAGTTAATTTCATAGTATGACGGTGAAGGGCATGGACTTTGAAGTCAGAAGGACCCAAGTTAGAATTCTGCTCTGCTGTAAATGGGATGTGATTACTGAGCAAGTTACCTAATCTAAGTGTCCTCGTTTATAATACATGGTTAATATAAATTTACATAATGGGATGTGAGGATTAAATGTGATCATGTTTATAAAGCCCTTAGCATTAAGCAGTATACATTAAATAGTAGCCTCACATAATAATAAAAATACTTCATACACTCACATAATAACAAAAATACCTCTTATATATATGTGTGTGTATGTGTGTATACATATAAGAATGCATGTAATCATCATTAGTAAAAAAAGACATTAAAATCAAAGTAGATGGGCACAGAATATATGAGAACTCTGTACTTTCTGCTTAATTTTGCTGTGAACCTAAAACTGCTCTAAAAATAAAGCTTATTAATTATAAAAACATGAGCAAGAAATTAACCAAGAATTTCATGGTTAAAAAATTTAACCAACAAGGTGCCAAATTTCACCTATTTGTCAGTGCTTTAAGAATTCATTATTTCAACTATAGGTGTAATGAGATCGGTAACTTCACAAAAATAGTGACAGAAATATTAGATACTACATATTAAGATTCTTTAAAATTTTAATAACATTTGACTTGGTAATTACATTTATAAGAATTTATTATAAGGAAATAATCAGATAAATGTGCAAAAGTGTGTATGTATTACATATATGAAATATATATGTCTGTGATATATATATCATTTATATGTGTTTATTGCAGTATTGTTTGTAGTACCAAAAAATTGGCAATAGTCCATATGGATATATAGGAGGATGGCTGAATAAATTATGTGGTGCATCCTATAATACATGATGTAGATCTATGTTTATTAACATGAAAAGAGGGCCATGATATTTACGTTGTGAAAATATCACGTGTTACCTCTATAATCAGAAAGCTATTTTTGTTTTGGAAAAAAATACAGCTTAGTATTCTAAAAAATTATAATGGCTGTGTACAGTCTGTGGATCAGGAAAACTTGAATTAATGGAAGGGCTTTAGGTTTAAACAATTTTTATTTATAAAATCTATGAACCAAAAGACAAATACACATCCCTGCATTGAAATAACCACATGATCAGAATGTTCTTTTTCTTTCTTTTTTTTTTTTTTTTTTTTGAGACAGAATCTCATTCTGTTATCTGGGCTAGAGTGCCGTGGCATCAGCCTAGCTCACAGCAACCTCAAACTCCTGGGCTTAAGCGATCCTCTTGCCTCAGCCTCCCGAGTAGCTGGGAATACAGGCATGCTCCACCATGCCCGGCTAATTTTTCTATATATTTTTAGTTGGCCGATTAATTTCTTTCTATTTATAGTAGAGATGGGGTCTCGCTCTTGCTTGCTCAGGCTGGTTTCGAACTCCTGACCTGGAGCAATCAGCTCGCCTCGGCCTCCCAGAGTGCTAGGATTACAGGCATGAGCCACCGTGCCTGGCCTCTAATAACTTTTTTTAGTATTAAAATTATGACTATCCAAAGGATAGGGAGTAATGCAATTCTAGCATGTCACAAATACAAAAAGGTCTTTGGCCTGTTTCTCTTCCCCTGAGCACAAGAATTACTTGGCAGCAGATTAAACAAAAGAATAGTTCTAACTTAAGCTATCTCATTTAATTTTTTCTAAACTTACTTATCTTTCTTCATAATGCCATCAAAAGAAGAACTAATAAGTACTCATTATAACTGAAACAGTAGCAAAGCATGAATAAAAAGAAACATGAAAAGCTAGTGTATCCCAAGGGAAAACATCTAATTCCAGATTTAACCACACAGAAAAGCTACAGTATAATAATAATGCTAACAATAATAATAGTTGCCTCATCAAAGTACTTCCAAAAAGTAATTAGAAAACTGTATTTGAGGAAAACCAATGAACAAAAACATTACACGTTAGTGGAATATAAGCATCTTAGGGCTAGCAGGATGGTTATAAAATATAATGCTTATACAAAAATTGAATGACTACATAAAGTCAGAGGCTAGAGACACAGTGAGACCACTAAGAATATGCTTCCAAAACTTGTTTCAGTCACATTCATCTTTTTGTTCTTCAGGGAGGAAGTGAATTCATTAATTTTTCCCAGAAACAGGGAAAGCAAAATAGTAGCAAGAGAGCAAAGAACAAAGTTCTAAGTCCAAATAAATGTGACATCAACTTCAACACTTTTGGCACATGTACATTCATAGAAGACAACCTCATTCATGTGAAAAGTCTTAGCTTCTAAAAATACTGTTTTCCAAAGGCTTCACTCCTGGGTAGAGTTCAAAATACCATCTGATATATAGACACCTAATTATAGAATATGAATATCTATACAACGCAACCTCTCAAATCTTCACCAATTGGAAATTGCCCCCCTCTTTTTGGGCAGTCAAGAATATTTATCAATCAGTATACTCTTAAGTGGATGATAATTTCCAGTTATTTTGCAAGACAAAATAAAAAAACATACATCAAATTACAGATAAATGGTCTTAAGGAAGGACTAAGGGACAGGGAATCAAGAAAATCATTTCAAGATATAATACCACCAATAACTTATTATTTGATCCAAGCAAGCCATTAATCTATACCTCAGTTTACTCATTTGTGAGATGATAATATTACCTTAACAGGGCTGTTCTGAGAAAAAAAGGAAAGAATACACATCAAAGGTCCTTGAAAGAGTGAAAAGTACTGTAACAGATTATGTTATTAGTAAAATTATAACAAAAACTCTAAATAACAAAACTCTCTCTCTCCCTCTCTCTCTCTCTATATATATATATATGTATATATATATATGTGTGTGTGTGTGTGTATATATATATACAGCTAAAAAATAATTTTCATGGATCCTGTTATATACCATTAATGTTAGAAAACAGAACAGGACTAACCTTGGAGGCTCCTATATACCTATTCTATTTCTTTTCACTCATTCCAGACTATTCTAAATTTTATGCTAATCAGTTCCTTGCTTTTATTTATAGTATTGCCATAGTTACATGTATCCTGAAACTATCTACGCACCCATTTATCTGCCTTCCTTCCATCCATCCATTCATCCAATCATCCATCCATTAATCCTTCTTTTTTCCTTTATATATGGAATATATATCCTTGTCCTTCACCTTCTAAAATATTTTTCTCAGAGTAATTTCTTGACATTATCATCTAATTTTCCCCATAATCCCCAAGGTAAAGGAATGTATTATATCCATTTGAAGTAGGGAAAACGAGCTACAGTAAAGCTAGAAACTTGCCACATAATATAAGAAGACAATGAACAAATCTTTCTACAGTAATTCTGAAAGTAAAGCAAACCAGTGACTGTCTCAGAGCTTTACAGCACATTCATATTTTTAGCTTCAATTAAAATAAGAACATTTCTTTAATGCTAAGAGCACAACTCAGTTAATATTTTTATACTGACTTCACATGGCTAGTATTTTTTTCTTTCATATTAAAAGGGAAAAGGTATATTAAAAAGCACTGATGATGTTAAAGCCCTAAGCAATGTTCCAATATTTCATTAAAAGAAAAACAAGAATTAAATAAATAATATAAAAAGATTTATTATTCTTTTAGGAGATGAGCTGTTTGGAAATAGCCATATATATTATAGAATATTTTAATTAAAGAAGATGGCTCCCTGAAATAGGTAATTAGTCTGACACGAATCAATCCAAAGATATCATTCACCTGAGCAAGTGGTGGAAGAATCTCCTTGCATATTTGCTGATTTGGTCTCTATATTCCAAGATAGTTGTATCCAGAAGTGGTCTTGTTGGAGCATAGAAAGTTCCAAGGCTTGCCTCAAGCTGTGCTGTGGAATTCAAACATAGCAGCACTAAAACAAGTGAAACTCTTTCAACTACAACAGAGTACTCATGTTTACAGTCAGTCAGGTTTTGCAAACTTGGATGAAATGTGAGCTTGTTGCAGGAAAGATGAAATTAAAATATGACAGCTGGTACAAAAACAAACCTGTGTATAAACTTTCACTTGAGGCAAAGCTGACAATGACTCTGAGCAACAAAAAGCTGTCAAAACTGAAGAAATCCATAATGAACCAACCTCTCACCACAAATGGGTAATTAAAACAGTGACTCATCAAAGTAGCACAGTTTGAACTAGTACTTCCAGTAAAATCAAACTCACAGTGTGCTCAACATTTACTCTTTAGCTGAAAGGAGAAAACTAACCTTTTTGCACTGGGAATTGAAACCAGTATAGTAGAAACAGTTTTAAAAATAACACAAATAAACATAGTCTTATCGGATTAAGAATATGTCTCTATTACAATTTTAAGAGAACAGTAAAAGTCCCTATTTCTTCCCTAAGTCCTGTCCTAAACATCAAGATTCTTGGTTTTACCCAAGTGTGAAAGCTAACTCCCCTGGGAGAGGAAAGAAGGCTTGGAGAGCAGGTTTTGATAAATTAGAGGGCTAGAGATTGGAGGAAAGGGCACATTTTGCCTATTTCACAATTTTACCAACACATGCTTATGGGGCTATATTTCTTCCCAGAAAAACCCGGAAGTAATTACCATAATGGTGAGCATATGAGTATGTATGAGAACACTACAGTTCACAGTAAGGCTCCTCTGATTTTTATGCTACTAGCACTAGGTTGAATAAACAATTCCTCATTTAGCAAAACTCTTTAGTTTTAGGTATATGTAGGTTTGAAAGTATTAAATACCTCATCAGAGTAATTGCTATGGACTTAGCTAAGCTGTTAGTAATTTCTCATTTTAATCCCAAATCTAGACAGTAAAGTAAGATGAACTTTAAGGGTATTTTCTTTCAAAGCAGCAGTCAATTTAGATTAAAATTGAATACAGCAATGCTATTGTGAAAACAAGCCAGATTCTCTTGCCATTGCTTGTTTTCTTGACAGCATGTTTCGTACATCTGAAATATTCAAACCTACATGGAATACTCATAACTCCCAGCACAGTTATAGATTCATTAGATAGCCCAGCTTGATGTTTAAGGCAGAAATGAAGATCTCAAAGATAACTACAACACAGCTACAAATAAAAGGACTCACTGGGTTCCACTAATAAAAGGAAAACAAATTACCATGTCAAATTTGTTAGATTCAGATAGAATAAATCTCAACAGAGAAGAATTCTGAATGTTTTAGAAATGTGTTTTGCAGTTACTTGGGGGGAAATGCACATACCTACTTAAAATGTACATATTCTGATAACCCAGCATCATACAAGCATTTTATTTTAATAGCCTAGCCATACAGGCTTTTTACAACTCCCCAATATGGTTCCTTGAAAATATCCTTTATTAAAGCAAGAATCTGATAATGCCCATTTGTATATTCCCTAATAATCTTTCTTATAGAACAATATTTACAATACAAATTCACTAAGGTGCTAGCAATTTTTCAGTGTCCTAAATGAGAGTCAATATTTTATCTTCTCTGTCATTTCATATTAAGGAGTAAATTTCATATTTAAGAGTAAATTTAGGATCTCTGGTATAGATTTTATATATCATAATGAGCTTTCTTTAGAAACTCTACTTTTTATTATTTCTTCTTTTAATTTTTTAAAAATAGGTACTGAATCCTGAGAGTGTATCAGTACTAAGAAATAATTATTATACTTGAGATAAGTCTGTAGGCAGCAATATTTTTAATACCTTATACACTAAAATCTTGAAGTTATACTTTTCTTTTTAATACATATGCACTGAGTACCTGTGAGCGAAGCACTGTCATAGCCATTTTCTCATTGTAGAAATACTGAAATTTCCATAAATAAGTTTGGGCTACCTCCAAAAGCACATTCAATTAATATTAAATAAATATTGTGGGCCTACTGTAACTTGTGCCAAGATTCATGATATAGATTTCCTGGAAGGAGCAGGTTCTTGCTGATCATTCTTCTCTAAAATTACTAAAAAGAAAGTTACCTAGAGAATTCTTCCAAACAACTTGTTTATTTTGGAAATGTAATAAATTGGAATAAGAAAATCTTTAAAAATGCAGAGAAAATAGTAGGAAAGAAAAATTTCCCCAGTAAGACCTTTTGACATACTTCCTGTTTTCCTTATCTTATAAATTACCTGGGGACAGTTTCTCACTGGACATGATTTCCCACCATTAATGTCATTGCTTACCACAAATATGTAAAATAAAGATGCAAATGTTAGAATGTTCAGGTGCATTTTACATTAAGTAAATAAATAACTAATAAAAAATACTAAATAATTAGCAAATATAAAGATTTATTTCATTGTATGTGACACATCTTTTTTTCCTTTTTTTTTCTTTAAACAGCATCTTACTTCTCTTTTGACATAAACATCTGAGATCCCTATGGGCAAATTACTTACTGAGCAAAGGCAGGGGAATCCAAGCAGGCAAAAGGGAAGGGTATCAGAACTACAAGTGAGAAGAATGGAAACAAGGAGGAGGAGCAGGTTGGGCTACAATTCTGACACATACAAAAAGAGTGAGTGTTAAGAACTATTATCTGGACAGAGGACTTGGGTGTGAGAAAAAAATACTGGTGTCTAATGTGAGGGAGGGATAAGGACCTTTGTTTGGGGCCCTTTGTCTACCAGACATGAAATTCTTGATCAAAGTTTGAAATTGGAGCATGTTCCATACATGAGCTTAGATTGAACTATACAATGACTGCATTGTGAGTTCTGACATAAGCATATACAGAAAGGTTGTTCTTTATGTTGACAAATACTATACAGTAAGTACCATATGGGAGCAATTTTATTTGACATCTGATCCTTTCAGTTTTAATAGAGAATTAACATTTTTGTCTTTTAATCTCTCACAGCATAACTCAAAAACATCCTCAAAATATAAGTGATTTAATAATGTGTATTTCATGTACATACAAAAGCCATTTATGAAATATACTTCAAGTCTGACCTTCTGTCTCTGGAGTGAGCTTTTGTCTAAGAAGATGGTTTACAATGGCGCTCATGCTGATAAAGCACTGGTGGCCCAGAGTGTCCCAGTTCATGCTGCTCAGGATGTTTATCGCCTCATAGATCTCATCACAGTGAATATGCTGGAAGATGATGTCTACCAGGCCCAGCTGTCCTTGAGTGAAGATACCTGTCACAAAACATTTATAACCAGGTAAATCTTTTAAGATAAAAAGTAGAATAACAGAGAGTTAACTTTTCCATAAAGGAAAAAAATAGTAATCATTTCTTGCATAAGTGCTGGAAATGTGGGGCTGATCCCCTTCTCAACTAAGCTTTGCTATATCTTGGTACAGCAAACACACATTTGTTCATCCTTTTATAAAATATAATTCACTTTTAATCTTAGAGGACCAAGAGCATAAAACAAAGGTGCGGGGGAGGCATTCTGTTCTGGTTTTATGGCCTTTTAAATAGGGCAGATCTCATGTGAAACTAACAACTTCTGTGTATTAAAAGACAATAAGTACTAGGGCTTTTAAGCAGGGGTTTTGGGGTTTCTTTTTTGTTTTTTGTTTAGTTTTTTAATCCTTTAAAAATAGCTGGCTATAAAATCTTTTCTTCAGCCAAAGTTTACTGGTTTGAGTGCTTCCACAAAATTTCTCAGTACAAATAACGTAAAAGTAAATGAGAAAATGCAAGTGAAATTACTTTGTAAGCCATAAAATATTATAAAATATTACTGTAATTCTTCTATTTAGTACTATCATCATCACCTTCATCATCATTTAATTGGAATAGTTACAGGCTTCAGGATTTTAAAAAATATATTAATTTATGAGAAAGATGCTAAAATTCTTCATACTAACTTCAAGTCACATCAAAATGAATACTTGTGCTATATCTAACAGGACTGAACATGATAGGGAATCTAGGGAATTGCCCTGACTATACTAAGCAGTAAAACTTTACTATTCCTTTTGTGTTGGTAGAATCAAAGAATGTGACAGTCCAAAAGCCATCATGAGCCTGCAGTCAAGCACTGGAAGTCCTCATAAATCAGGGTGGCTCCTTGGCAGTATATATTAACGCATAGAAACTTTGCAGGAAAGCAAAAATATATGACTCTATCTATACCTCAAGCAACACTTCTACTAGTAGCATGAGAAAAAACTGATCTATTGAGAAGAAAAGCTAACATATAATCATAACCAAATAGTTCAAATGTGATAAAGAGAAAATCTTAAAAAGCAACTATGGGAAAAAAGACATAGGATATGCACAGAAACCAAGATATAAATGACTACAGATTCTGCCTCTGAAATTATGTAAGGCAGAAAGCAACAATAAGATATTTTTTAAGTGATGTAAGATAAAAATTAATTAACCTAGAATTCTAAATCCTTATAATAAAGGGTCCAAAACTCATGAAAAAACATACCAATCCTTAAATGTATCTAATAACAGAGCTCTGAAATAATAAAGCAGAAACTGACAGAAGTAGGATAAAAAGTCAAATCTATAATTATAGTTGGAGATTTCAGCACTTTTTTCTCCCTAATCAAGATAGCATGTAAACAGAAAATCAATAAAAATAGGAAATACTTAAGAAACATTATCAATAAATTTGACCTAATTGACATTTATAAAACACTTCACCCAACAACAGCAGAATACATATTCTTTTTAAGTGCACATATAACATTAGCCAAGATAGAGCATATTGTGGGCAATAAAAATAAGCCTCAACACATTTAAAAGTTTTGAAATCATACAGAGTAGAGTCTCTGACCACAACAGATAAATTAGATATAAATAACAGAAAGATTATCTGGAAAATCCAAAAATATTTAGAAGTTAAGCAATATGATTCTAAATAACCTACAAGTCAAAGAAAAATATCATAAAATATATTAGAAAACACTTTGAATTAAATTAAAATAATATAACACATCAAAATTTGTGAGTATAGCTATAGCAGTGCTTAGAGGAAAATTTCTAGCTTTAAATGTTTTAGTTAGAAAAGAAGAAAAAAGAAAAGAAGAAAGGTCTAAAATCAACGATCCAATCTTCCATATTAAGAACCTAGGGAAAGAAGAGCAAATTAGACCCAAAAAGTAAATAGAAGGAAGGAAATATTAATGATAATAAACAGGAAATACAGAAAATCAATGAACTCAAAAGCTGGTTATTTGAAGAGATCAGTAAAATGGACAAGCCTTTGCCTAAACTGAGAAAAAAAAGAAAGGTGGCACAATTACCAATATCAAGAGTAATCACTACAGAGTTATAGACAATTAAAAATGAGTGAATATTATGAGCTTAACTTTTTACAAATAAATATAACTTGAATGAAATGGATTGTTTGAAAGACCCAAACTACTAAAGCTCACTCAGAAAGGAATAGATAACGTGAATGACCCTATATTATTTAGATTTGAAGTTATTGTTAAAAACCTTTACATACCCACATTTACACACACACACACGCACGCATGCATGCACAGGCACACACATATACACACAACCTTCATGTCCAGATGGCCTTCACTGGTGAATTATATCAAATATTAAAAGAAAAAAATAATAAAGTTAGGCATGGTGGTACATGCCTGTAGTCCCTGCTACTAAGGAGGCTAAGGCAAGAGGATCACTTAAGCCTAGGAGTTTGAGTCCAGCCTGGGCAACATAGCAAGGCTGTCTCTAAAAAATAAATACATCATTTTTAAAAAAAGAAAAAATAATATAAACTCTACACAATTCAAAATATAAGAGGAGGGTACACTTCCCAACTCATTTTGTGAGGTTAGCATTACAGACACCAAAAATTACAAATATAAGAAAAGAAAAAGAAATCTATGAATCAATATTCCCCATAAACAAATACAAAACCCTTAACAAAATATTAGCAAACCCAGCAATGTATTAAAAAGATAATACAGTATGAACAAATCAGATTTACCCCACAAATGCAAGGTCATTTAAACATCTCAAAGCCAATCAATATAATTCACCTTACAATGAGAAAAAAACATATAATCATTTCAACTGATGCACTTAAAACAATTCAGCATCCACTCAGGGTAATATATCTCAGCAGATTAGAAGTGGAAGGAGACTTCCTTAACCTAACAACATGATACTTATAGTGAAAGACTGAATGCTTTCCATCTAAGATTGGAAACAAAGCAAAGATGTCCTCTTTTACCATTTCTATTTAATACTGGATATGTTGGCTAGTGTAACAAGGGAAGAAAATGAAACAAAAGACATACAGGTTGAATGAGAAGACCTAAAACCATTTTTAATCCAGTTGTCACGGTCATCTATGTAGAAAATCCTAAGGAATCCACGAAAAAGTTATAATGACTAAGAATGAGTTCAGCAGGGTTGCAGGACACATGGTCAATATTTTTAAAATTTGTTTCTATATAAGTCCAATGAACAACTAAAATGTGTATATAAAATATTATTTACAATACAGAAATACTTAGGGATAGAAGAAGTAAACAATCTCATTTAATTTGGGGAAAAGATTTCAAGATACACTTCACCAAAGAAGATATGTGGCAAATAATCACATGGAAAGATACTTACTTAACTCCCATAGACATGAGGGAAATGCAAATTAACACCACTACACATTTATTAGAACAGCTAAAATCAAAAGACCATTAATGTCAAGTGTTAATGAGGATGTGGAGCAACTGGAACTCCCATAAATTGTTAATGTATGTGCTAAATGACACAATCACTTTAGAAACACTTTCTTCTAAATGTAAACATATACTTAGCATATGACCCAGCTATTATTTAATCCTAGGTTTTTCCCAAGAGAAATGAAAATACGTGTTCATACAAAGACTTGTACATGAAAGTACACAGTACTTTTAGTCATATTAGCTTAAACCTGTAAACAACCCAAATGTCCATCAGCATGTGAAATGATAAAAAAAAAATGTGGTATATAATGGAATTCCATATCATGGAATACTATTCAGTAATATAAAGAAAAAAGTTGTAGATATACACACTCATATGGAATAATATCCCGCAGAATAATGCTGAGTAAAAATACCAAGACACAAAAAAGTACCTACTATATGATCCCATTTCTATGAAATTCTAGAAAAAGCAAATCTAATCAATAATAACTGAAAACAGATCAATGCTCATCAGCTATGAGAGAAGTGGCAATTAACTGGAAAGTGCCTTTAGAGAATTTTTTTGGATGATGGAAATGTTCTATGTCTTGGTTGTGGTGGTAATCGTAAGGGGATACACATTTGTCAAAACTCATTGAACTGTGCACTTAAAATAGATGTGTTTCATTTATGTAAACTGTGCCTCAATAAATTTGATTTCAAAATCCATCATCACTCTAATTTGAAGAAAGAATGCTATCTGGAATAACAGTTCATTTCAAATGATATGAGATCCAATTTTAAGATGACTAGGCATCTAACAAAGTATCTGACATTTCTTTCCAGCAATAAATTACCAATTACCACTTAGGTAAAGTATAAAAGATTGAAATAACTTATTAAAAGTAATCCCTTTGGGGGAAAAAAATTTTGAAGAAAATATATTTCTTACAAAATTTCTAAGAAAAAAATCATACTAGTTTTTTAGAAACAGTGACAGCCATTTACATAAACATCACCTGTGGTTTTTTAAGATTCTATGAGAGGAAGGATATTAGTTTAATTATCTCTTGTTCAATATTAACACTTAAACATTTAAACTTTTCCCAACTTCGTAGGCTCTATGAGGGAACTGTGGGGACACTCCAGGCAGATGGACTACTATCAATGTCACCATGGAAGGAGTCAGCATAAGAGCATGTGCCATGGCTGGGAAGCTACACAAGTGTAGCATAGCTGGGGAGATGATGCCCAAGTCAAAAACAGAGCTTATTAACCACTGAAGTCTTTCAAACGGGAGAATCCATGACCAAATCTGCACTGTTAGAAAGATCACTTGGATGACACTCACGATTAACTGAGGAGTCGGATCCAAAGACTGGAAGACAGAACAGTACAGGTGGAGGGCCTCTGCTTGATCATGATAAAATAGAGAAAGTCTGGATTGGAGCAATGGACAGTGAGACTGAACTAAATTAGATGTTTTTGATAGTATTTAGAAGGCAGAGTTGATGGGATTTGGTCACTGAGTAGCTATGGCCTTCGT